CAAACTGCTTCAATACAAACAATCCAGTGGACACTACAACTCCTTGGCACTTTCAGTGTAACCAGTGCAAGTCAGTTGCTAAGTTACACAACGTTCTCTTCTAAAGTTGTAATTAATTAAAATATCCAAAAAAATACCAACTGTGAGATAAGAGATTCCCCCATGGTTCTACTTTTAGGCAAAGAAAACCCAGACCCCCATCCCCAGGGCTGCAATAGCTCAGGCTCCCAAAAAGGCCCAGGGGCTGTGCTGGGGCTTTTGGCTGCCCTGGAGCACAGGCAGGAACACGATGTCACCACCCCACGGGCACAGCTGAGAACCCCAAGAGCAGCCACACCAGCAGCTCCTGCCAGCCCTGCTGGGCTGGGCCTTGGGGAGGAAGGGCACTGACCTTTCTTCCTGCCTAGCAGCAAAGAGCCTCCTTGCTGAGCACCTCTCCTGCCAAGGGCATCAGCTCACAGGGGAAGTTCAGCAAGTGCAACTTCTTGGAACGAGCAAGATTCCTGTTCCCTGGATAATCTCTTTTCAATTCAACTCCAGATCACACACTAGAAGTTCAGGTGTTGCCTAAAATTTCTTATAAGAATCTCAGACTCAACTCATGAGGTTTAGAAGCCAGGTAATCTTTTATTCCTATGCTCTTGAATGAATCCAGTCGACCAGGTGCCCCAGCAATCCGCTCCCAAAGGGCACAGGGAGGTGTCTCCACTGCAGCTCATGGGAGGGGTCAGCATCACAGGAGGATTCATTTTCAGTCCCTGCATTCCTGTTCCACATTCAGGGCATTTTCCAACACTTATTACTTTACACACCTATGTTTAGAAGGTTTCCAAGGGCCTTCGCAGGTCTGCTCTGTCTGGAGCCCTCACAGTCCTCAGTGCCTGCCTGAGGAACCTCAACACAACTCACCTGCTGACACAGGAACTTGGTGCTGCTTGGCTGCTGCCTCACTTCCCTTCTTCCTTCTTTCTTCACCTCCCTTGGTTGGTCCCTTTAAATCCCTTGGCTCAGCTCAGTGCAGTTCCCAGGCTACATCCCCCTGCAAAAAGGACCAGCTCTTGTTACATCTCAACACTCAGATATCATTCCCCCTTTTTCCTTGACACTGGGCCATCAGGCCAGTGTCTCATTATTTAAAGCAGAGTTTGACTCCTCAGTGACAACAACTGACAGCCCTGAATCATAACACAGGCTGAGACACAAACACACATGGGAACTCTGAAGGATCCACTTTGTTCTGCTCACCAATCCAAAGGAGCTTTCTTAACTCAAGAATAACAGAC